CATCTGTGGACCATCTGCCTGTTTGTGTTCAGAGTGCGGAGGGAAGAACTTCCACTTTGTGCACACATCTGCAGACATCCAGAGCGTGGTGATGGGGACAATCCGCTCAGCGTTTGAGTACGGAGGACAGAAGTGCTCGGCGTGCTCCAGGATGTACGTTTCAGACAGCATTTGGCCTGAGATCAGACAGCAGCTGCTGGACGTGCACAGAAGCATCCGAGTGGGCAATGTAAGTGCACAAGGACAGTAACTCATCTGCAGGTATTTATTCAGATGAGGAGGGATAATTACGGGTCGTAGAGTGTTCCAAGTGAGTCTGGTTTACCTGTGATGATTATGTTCTCTGTTCTTCAGCCCGTGGAGGACTTCAGCACCTTTCTCTCTGCTGTTATAGACGATAAGGTGCACTGCTCACACACTCTGAACATCACTGTGCATTTCCATCTTTAACTGTCTCATCCTCCTGCAGGCGTTCGCCCGAACAAAGAAGTGGTTGGACCACGCCAAGTCTTCGCCAAACCTCACCATCATCGCTGGAGGAAACTGTGATGATCAGAAGGGTTACTTTGTGGAACCGACCATCATCCAGACCACAGACCCACGGGACCCCATCATGAATGAGGTAGAAATCCAGGAACCGGGTGTTTTAGATCAGAACAAATGGTTCTTATTTCTAGCTTTTGCAATCAAACCAACTGTCTATGCTGTTCAGAATAATTACACTCTTGATTTTTAATTGAAAATGATCATTTGAAGTGTTTGGTTTAACTCATTCACTGCCACTGACGACTAAAGTCGTCATTTGCATTTTTTTTTTACTGTGTGGGCATCGGAACGAGCCCCCGCACCGTGAGAACAAACATCTCAGCTCTAAAGCCGATCTTCATCCGCATACGTCACACGTCACGTGATCAGGAAGCAGAAAATCCATGTGTTAGGAGATCGTTTTGGGCCGCTGCTGTAAAAAAAGTGAGGCGCCAACCGGAAAAGCTTCTGCCAATCACAATTCGACAACGGATTATGAAAGAAAGAATAATGCTCGAAACGCGCGGATTCTTCCTGATGTAAGAGGTGAGTCTCCGCTTTGTTTTGGTTGTTTTGGCGTCGACATCATCCTAGCGAGCAACGTTCTGTGACTCTTAAAAAAACAGTAAAAATGGTGAGAAACGCTGGCAGCGAAGGCCTTTAGCGATCATGAAATGGCTGGCAGTGAATGAGTTTAAGAGGTTCTAGAATTCAAAGCCATGTTTACCTTGTTGTTGAATAAAGGCACCTTTGGGTTCCTAGTGGTGCTTACACATTAGAGTCAATACAGTCAGGGGAAGGATAACATCTGTTTGGTCTTGTACGGGCAGTGTAGTGTTCACATGTAGTTCTGAAGGACTTCTCAGGAATGCGGAAATCCCTGAGCCTGTGGGCGGCATTTAAGATGCACTGGAACGTCCACTGTGTCCTCCTTAATATGATAAACAGAGGCAGGCATGAGTTATGTTGCTTTTGGAGACTCTGCTGTGGGGCTGAACATCTATCGCTTTTGGACCAAAATTGCGATTTCAAACAGCACGATCATGTGACCGTCAAAGCTGCGGTTTTAGTGGTTTTGACTGATCCAGGATCAGTTGTGTAACTTTTTTTTTGCATCCGGGGTTTTCTCCCTGTGTTATGGCGGCGACAAAAGCCAGCGCGGGGGAGGGGAGTGGGGACTACCGTCCAGAGCCGAGCCGACTCCACAGTTGCCAGAGCTGCATGTTCAGGTTATTTTCCCTGTTTTATGTTCCCACACACAGCTCTGCTAGAGCGATAATAATGGCACCGTAGGTGAGCCCGGGACAGAGAGAGAGAACGTAGTTGAGTAAGGGAGAGAGAGAGAGACTCCTCCCACATCAGCAGGTTCATGCTGATTTATGCTTCATTAGCACGAGTGCAGAGTCGCGCACTTTAGTTGACTTGAAGGCTCAACTTCTCTTTTAGAAATGGTTTGAATGTTTCTGATGGCGCACGTTAGTTCAAACGAGCTAAGGTGTCAGAATGCGTGCTTCTCTCTCACGGAGCTGACGTTAGTGAGGAAAAACTATCGGACGGCTTCGAAAAACGTGCAGCCAGCCTGCCGCGGTAATGCAGGGAAAACTGTGCATTTTGTTATTTAATACATTTAAAAGCTATTTCTACCTACAGATTTCCTCCATGCATTTTTGGAG